ATTTTTTGTTGATTTTTATTGCATTTACAGTTTTGACCAGTGTGTGTCTCCAGCATGTGGTGTTTCAAGCACTTCGAAACATTTTGCTAACCAATCGGTTAAACTGTTTCAAAGCTTTTGTATCACAAGTTTTCATGACTGGGAAAAATTAAATGTATCCAGTGATGTTTTTTGAAGGCTCTTCTGAATCAACAATAGCACCGGCTCTGAAGTAGCACCTGGGGAAAAGGGCTAATCGTGAACCATCACAGCTAGCAGCTAATTCTAACTCAGCCTTCAGATATGGCAAGAGTTATATAAACAGGAAAATCAACAGGAATATTGTAGGGATGCACAGATATAGGCAATTTCACTGATACAATCACTAACAATGCTTTAGGGTTAGTAAGACTCTTAAATGTTTTGGCAGCTTACTACTTTTGTGCAAATTGTTATACATTTAAAAATTTTCAGTATTCTTTGATCAATAAAAAATGTAAAACAACTGTGTTCATGGGAAATAGAAATTTTTGTAACAGTAATTATACTGTTACTTTTGATCATTTTAAAGCATCCTGGCTGAATGAACCCTTTCACGCCTGAGTCTTTAATTACTCACGCTGACCCTCTTACGTGAGTTTGTTTTTTGTTACCGTTAGTTAGAATCAATTGGGTTCGAAGTTCCGATGTCGATACATCAAGTTTATCTAATGAACCACCAGCTCAAATGATCTATGTATATATCGTATTTTGTTTCTTATTGATCTTTTCTTAAAATATTGACAAATATTCTGATTATATTGTGACGTTTCTGATTCTCAGTAATCAAATCTGATTCTCAAATTTGTGCTAGAACATCTATTTTGTCTTTTAAACAGCTTAATGACGGTATTATTTGCATTATATTGGGTAATGGGCGCCACCATAGTTGCTAGAAGGGATACAGCTCTGATCTGAAGTTAACAAGAAGTTTTAGTATTATTTATTAAATTATGCATTAATTGTATTTTATTAGCTAGATGGGATACAGCTGAGGATACTTGCATCAATATGACATAAGTTTTGAGACACTATGACAAATATTATGTTTACATTACCGTGAGGGTTGGGTTTAGGGTTGAGGTAGGGGTAAACACTAATAAAAGACAATTAATGCATCATTTAATAAATAATATTATTACTTCTCGTTAACTTCTGATAGCAGCTGTATGCCTTCTAGCAACAACCGCAGGAGAGATCCGAGCTGCTGGATTTAAGACATGTTTATGCATAATTTTCTGCCGAATACATGAAGGTAAGCAGCTGTTCATCTGGGAGAGGAATAGAGAAAATATTCTAGTGACATAAACTGTGTATTTTACGTAAACAAAGCACACTGTTTGATTGTATGCTTCAGGGACCAGCCAAGGCTAATCACACCGGTGTGATTGTCCGCTTTAGAAACCAGCCAAGGCTTATCACACCGGTGTGATCGTACGCTTCAGAATCCAGCCTAGGCTGATCACACCAGTGTGATCGTACGCTTTAGGGACCAGTTAAGGCGGATCACACCAGTGTGAATGTACGCTTCAGGGATCAGCCTAAGCTGATCACACTGGTGTGATTGTATGCTTCAGGGACCAGCCAAGGCTGATCACAATGGTGTAATTGTATGAGTGAAAGGCTTAATTATTAAATGCATGAAAAAGTAACTCAATAAAAATTTTTTTCAAAACAACATTATCCTGACTCCAAACTTTAGGACCGTACTGTTAGATGTCTGACATTGTGCATTTACAGTGCTGATGTTGTTCAAAACAGCATTCATCGAAAAAAATGTTATAATATAAGTCAATTATGTTCAATATATACAGTTAAAGTCACAAATATTCACCCTCCTGTGAAGTTTTTTCTCTTTTAAATATTTCCTAAATGATGTTTAACAGCAAGGATTTTTTACAGTGTTTCTTAAAAATGTTTTCTTCTGGAGAAAGTCTTATTTGTTTTATTTCGGCTAGAATAAAAGCAGTTTTTAATTTATTAAAAAACCTTTTAAGGTCAAAATGTATAGCCCCCTTCAATTGTCTACAGAACAAACCACCGTTATACAATCACTTGCCTAATTAACCTAGTTAAGCCTTTAAATATCACTTTAAGCTGAATACTAGTATCAAGAAAATCATCTAATGAAATATTATGTGCTGTCATCATGGCAAAGAGAAAATAAATTAGTTATTAGAAGGGTTATTAAAGCTATTATGTGTATAAATATGTTGAAAAAAATCTCTCCGTTAAACTGAAATTAGGGAAAATATACAGGAGGGCTAATAATTCTGACTTTAACTGTATACTGTATATAGTGCATCCCTGCAGTAAGGGGTAAGGTGATGGTATTGACACTGCAAACACAGACAGTGGGGTGAATCTGCGTCTATCCCCCCTCAGTAGTAGGCAGTGAGGGTTGAAGCACGGTACACTACACACACAGTGAAGGAGGAACACGTACTTGTCCGTGCGGCACGCTGCCTGCTTTGCACAAGATCTGCAAGATAAACAACACATTCATGAGCCTGAAGAGTTCTCCAACAAGCACGAGGCTCTGATTCACTCGCTGTTCAATCACGAACACACGCTTCACTCTCAATCACAGCACAGCAGAGTCTGATTCAGAGGCTGTGCGATGATCATGACCAAAAATGTCATTGCTGATTAGTTCCCGTGATACTGTAATCATGGTTATTAATGCTAAATCTGCACAGTGAATGTTTTATTTACACCTCATACAGTACACCTTGATGATTAGGGCAGCAGAGTAGAGTTTCAAATGCAGCTTATGCCGAGTTCAGACTGCATGATCTTACACCCGATTTTGACTTGCAGACAGGCTTGAAGAAATCACCAACAAATAACTGAAATCACAGGCAAATCTGTGCTGATTCACGCGAGTAACAAACACACAACATGAACTATCAAAGACGCCATCTGAGAGAATCGCCGATAAGTTGTTGATACCCATGTGATATCTGGCATGCTCAATATCCGGACCTGTCAGCGATTCAAATCATGCCATGTGAATTAAAAACATGTGTGACGCCACTACTTTGAAAATCCTGCAGTCTGAATTCGAGAAATAATTTCAAAATTGTGATTTGAAATCTCTTAGTGATGTTTTATAAACAAATGTGAAGCATGTGAAGATGTTTCAACAATTCTAATTAAAGTTTATTTATAAACTAATTTCGAGAGGATCACATGCTTATGATTGCTTGCAGCTGGTCCCACATTATCAAATTCATGATTCACCAATCAGACGATTCCTAAGCCACTATAAATACGCCAAGCTCCATATAACAGCTGCCTTCGTCTTAAAGAATCCCCCCTTCCATCCCTACTCTTCCTTCTTTTCTAGATGGGTGACACGGTGGTTCTGTGGTTAGCACTGTTGCCTCACAGCAAGAACGTCACTGGTTCTAGTCCTTGTCAAGTCAGCCAACGTTTCTGTGAATTTACACGTTCTCCCCATGCTCACGTGGGTTTCCCCGGGTTCCTCGATTTCCTCCCACCATCCAAAAACATGCAACTTAAGTTAATTGACTAATCAAAATCGGCACCATAGACATGCTCCAAGTAAGTAGATATCTCTTAAGAGCAATCGCTATCTGTTCATTAGCTACTGCAGCAGTGGAGTTCTCCAGATCTACCTGAGCTTAAACTCCCCTCTCGCCTTGCAAATGGGAGGAAGCCCTGGGCTCGAGGATCTTAGGAGCTCAGGACTTTCTCCCAGGAAAGCATGCCAAACAAGCTTTACAATCAATCACCAGCTAAATGTGAACTCTTGAAACATCATTGACAATCTTCTATTATCCAATCAGCATTAGACCAAACCTCCATAAACACCAAACTCGACCTTCCTCTATTATCTCACTACTTTAGCATCCCTCGACAACCCCGACACCTCACTTCTTAAACAATATGTACCTAGGGGGAGCAATCTGGGGCCAGGCTAGACACTTCAATAGGACGCCAACATCTCGCACCTTCATGACAGGGGGCATAACACGAGTCTTTTCTGAGCTCAGAGCACCTCTCCCAAATTCTTTCAAAGATATGTAAGTGTGAATTTGAGTCTTGGCTGGGTCAGTTGGCGTTTCTGTGTGGAGTTTGCATGTTCTCCCCGTGTTGGTGTGTGTTTTCTCCGGGTGCTCTGGTTTCCCCCACAGTCCAAACACATGTGGTATAGGTGAATTGAATAAACTAAATTGGCCGTAGTGTATGAGTATGTGTGTATGAATGTTTCCCAGAACTGGGTTGCAGCTGGAAAGGTATCCGCTGTGTAAAACATAAGCTGGAATGGTTGGCGGTTCATTCCGCTAAGTTAACCCTTCAGTCTACTACAGTGCTGTGCTTTGCACTGGTCTGCCAATAAACCTGTCAGTCTTTATTCTGAGATAACAACCTCCTGGCTCCTGGATGTACTTTATTGCATGTCTTAAAGTTTAGTAATGTAGTTTCATGGTTGTGAATTGTCATTAATTAATTTGCATTACTTTATTCTTTCTCTTTACAGTGAATGCACTTGTCAAGTATTTATCCCCCCATCCATCCCCTGCCGTCCTCTTATAGTCACCCTATATGAACTTTAATGTCTGACAGCTTCTGAAGGGCATGTTTTAGGGAAGGGGCGATTAGATCTCATAAGCACTGGTGTTTTTCACTGAAGGCATTTCCTCAGGAAGCCTCATCTCCTGTCTGCAGCTCTCACAGGGGTTTCTGATGGAGATGCTGATCCCACCTAGAGTTCTTTAATCAGCCTGTGTTTCCCATCCAGGAACAATGTGCGTTTAGGATGGTCAGTGTGTGTCTTCCGCCCGCTTCAAAAAGCACAAAAAAAAAATAAATAAATAAAAAAAAAACTGCTCTGCAATTTAGGAGCTCGTTTACAGTGAAATGGTTCTGGTGAGCAGCCAGAGAGTCTCTCAGCACGGCACTATATTAAACAGCCTGGCTGCTAAACCTGTCATAGCGGACTATTGCCAAATGTACTCAAAAAAGCTGGTATAGAAGCGCTTCTGAAGTGTTATCTTTACAAAAATATACTTCCCTAGTGATGTTTAGAAACACAAAGAATCCTAAACGATCTTCCATAAGTACAAATTAAATCAAAACTAGCCATATTGACTCTGTTAGCTCACATACAGTAGCTAGTTTTGTGGTGAACAATTCATCTCTGCATGTCATTAAGGAAAACTACAAGTTTGCTCTTGTAATCTGTCCCCAGGTTGCAATAACTCTCCCCAGACCCTTTTCCCCACCTTTCTGAATGAACTACTACTTTACTACATCCAATCAGCTAGCAGGAGAAAAACAAGCCACGCCCACTGTTTTCTCATTTAATATTCCATTTATCTGGGAACTGCATCACAATACAAACAAAAATAATAATAAAAAAGTCGCAACTTTGAGTTCATGAAGACTTTAAAGAAGAGAAATAATCTTCTTTATATAAAGATTTAATACTCAGCCATGCAATTATCAAGTTTTCTTTTCATTTTATCAGCTCTTCTGTTCATCAGTTTAAAAATCTCTTAAATAATCTTAGATAAAACAGGTTTACATTTAGTACTTTTTACATCAGTCTGAGGACAACTCCACACACCGCTGCTAGATGGTGTCACTATCTCATGCAGTGCTCACCTGTCAGCATTAATCCACAGAAATACATAGATTTTTTTTTTAAAATCTAGATTAATCTTACTGTAATCTTGGAATTAATCTAGATTAAAATGGCTCATTTAAATTCTGCCGAAGGCATTCAGAATATGTGTGCTACCCAAATAATGACTAAATATAAGTCTTTGAGAACGGGTTTCTCAAGCCAGGTGGCGCATTAGACCAGGGGCTAACTCCTGTTTCCAAAATGCATCACAAACTGCTTGAGAAACTGTTCTACTATGGTAATTGGTGATGAAAATAAATGATGTTCAATAAGATGTATTTGTGTTTACTCACTGTTTATTCAGGTAAACATGAAATCTGAACTGTAGGCCTACATAAGATCCAAACAGACATTTTTTAAGACCTTAATCTGACTAAAGTCATAACTGAACTAAACAGAAATGGAATTAAGACGTGTGGAGTCTGCAAATATTAGAGGCATTATTGAAGTAAACACCGCAATCAAACTATTACCATCATGTAGGACTTTTTTTTCTGACAGGATCCACACACACGGCTGTCAGTAAAGGATTTCACACAAACACAAACACAAACACACACACACACACACAAGGTTTTTTTTCTTTCCATTTTGCGTGCGTTATTAAATTCCATAACACTCTCAGCAGTCCTTACTCCTTATTTGGTTGATTAATATATATATATATATATATATATATATATATATATATATATATATATATATATATATATATATATATATATATATATATATATATATATATAATTTTGTTTGTACATTTTTCCAAATATATATATATATATATATATATATATATAGATACACAAGTCTGTTAGGCTGCTGATCAGAGCTTTCTTTCTGTTTTTTATTCAGCTTGACATTATTTATCTTCCTCCTGACCTTTCATCTGAAATTCATCTTGCTTCTGGTGTGAATGACCTTTGGTAGACGATTCTGGGCTGTTTTCAACTCTTGGACTGAACAGACAGATGGGCTCTGTTTTACCAATCTAAGTCTAAAGTGTATAGCGGCAAAAGCACTAAGAGTGTGTTTTAAGGATGGGAAAAACAGTCTGTGCACCAGGTGCATAGTCTAAAATTGTTGTCCTTTTTCTCTTAATAAGTTCTGGGTTTGTTTTGGCATGCATCAAACCATTTAGAGTCTGCAAAGAGGAATGGGCAAAAACTCCCAAAAGACAGGAGTGCCAAGCTTGTGGCATCATATTCAAAAAGACTCGAGGCTGTAATCGCTGCCAAAGGTGCATCAACAAAGTGTTGAGCAAAGGCTGTGAATACATGAGATTTTACAGCTTTTTTATTTGTAATAAATTTGCAATTTCAAAAACTCTTTTTCCACATTGTCATTATGGGGGATTGTGTGTAGAATGTTGAGTAAATCAATAAATTTAACCAATTTTGGAATAAGAATGTAACATAAATGAATGTAGAAAAAGTGAGGCGCTTTAAAGACTTTAAGGATACACTATACACACTCAAACACACACACACACACACACACACACACACACACACACACACACACACACACACACACACACACACACACACACACACAAAAAAAAAAATCATATACGCATCCAATCAAACAAACACACATGCACACACAAGCACGCACACTCTCAAGCCCACTGTAAGCCTGGAACTGTTATCTCTGTGTGTGTGTCCTTGGGGAACAACTGGTAACAAGGTAATCAAATCTTAACCACCCCCCCCCCCATCCACCCCCAGCATACACACACACAACACGCAGAGTTCAAGGCTGGTCCCTCCGCCATCGTTCAGTTGATCTCACAGAAACAGAAGATACACAGGCTGAATGTGGGA